AAGCACCTCTTTCGGTTAGTAAGCGGCTTTTTAAGCAGTGTGCGTGTTTACTTCACTTGTCTTACTAACCTAACTGTGACTTTAGCAGTGAAGTAAACACCTCCTTAGTGTTGATTTGCAATATGAGGGACCTAAAAATCAAAACATAAGCAACTAAAATTGAAATAAACTTTTTACCAAAAAAACTTTGAAATAAACTATGCACGTGTATTTTATTTTTATTACTTAATAATACTTAGTATTTGATAATAATATCCTTATTGTAATTTTATATTTCAGCTACTTAATTACAATAGCTAGTTTTGCCAAACATGACTATCTAAAACAGGCAGTTTTCATGAAACAGCTACGGTCTTTTTCATCTACAAGCTTTTCAACTCGAAAAAGTTAACAGTTACTAAAAAGTTCAGAAAAGATCTTTTCAGCTTGTCGAACCAAACATAGCCATAATACTACTTATGTTCTCTTTTAATTGCAACATTGGACATTTTGTACTATTTATATATTCTACTTTGACTTTATTTTATGTATTAATGTATTATAAATTAAAATTTCAAAAAATATTGTTAAATTCTTTTCATTCTAAAATTTCAAAATCTGAATTTTTTAAATTTTTTACTAAAAAAGAATGAAAGATATTAATGGTCAAACTTATGCGTTGACAAACGTAAAATGTTGACTGTTGCAATTAAAAGAGAACGGATGAAGTACTATTAATACTTTTATACTATACATTTTTTTCCAGGGAACATGCAATGAGTAAAAAACTAAAAACTAACGGTGTTAGCAGCTCCACTAGATAAAAGGCACTCCCTATTTTCTACTTTGCATTTACAAATTGTATTGTTTACGTTTGCACAACACGTTTGATAAGCCGAGTTCATAACTATTATTGGTCAACATTTTCATCAAATACGCCACTTTCAATTTTGCATTTTGAACTGTTTAACAACTACATTAAATAAGATTGTAATAACTTTTCTAACAAAATTAGCTTAAGTACCCGCAAATAATCATTATAGCAAGAATGAGATCACTTCGGTTCTTTTAATAAGAACCCTTTGGCGAACAATTATTTCTATTTGGGTTCAGTTCTACACTTTGTTTGAGGAATCGCGATAGAGGAACCGTTAGCATCATATAGATCCGCTAGGTTCATGTGTGTTATCAATTAACGCTCAACAAAAAAATATTTAACCCTCAAAAAATATAGATCCGCTAGGTTCATATAGATCCGCTAGGTTCATCTGTTAAGACCCGGGATTTCATCCTAAAAGGTCAACCTGGTAGAAGAAGTAGCATATGTGTTAATATAGCATTTTGTTCATCCAAACTTTTCCGGTGTGGGACATTTAACACCCCTCCTCACGACTAGATACTTCGTCTGGGCCGTGTCATTATTCAATTTTTTTTCATCGGTCCGTTTTTCCATTCGGCCGTAATTGTCATTTTTTATACGAGTAAATCATTTTTCATAAGGGGGCCCACACCATGGATCGATTTGGCTCTGATACTATGTTAAGACCCGGGGTTCCATCCTAAAAGGTTAATCAGATAGGAGGAATAACTCATGTATTAATATAGCATTTTGTTCATTCAAACCTTTCCGATGTGGGACATTTAACATCGTCATTTTGCTATATTATTAAATCGATAACACATAAAAATATACAAAATACTTCGTATTAAAAATATTGTTTTTCTATAATGTACTCCATAGCATATTTGATCAATTCAACGAGAATATTATCAATATCAATATAACGGATTCATTTTGGGGTTTTACTCTTGTAAGGCAATATATATCATACGCTCGGGTGTATGTGCACACCCGATATTCATTCATTGGTTCTAGTCAGAGTTAGCTTTGATCTCCACCGCTCACTCAAGAATTCAATGATGCGCTGACGGCTGAGTGTCGCAGTCAATGAATTGTCATCATGGGCTCCCTCATGAGTCATGATGCTGAAGTCCCTCTAGAGCAGTGGAACATTACAACGTTAGAGCTCCCCTGGTTGTCTAGCATTGCTTGTTTGTTTGGTATTTTGTCAAAGAGGAAGGCACAACTTTAAGAGCCCGTTTGGAGAACTCTGTTTTCGGCTTATCAGGCTTATCAGCCAGCTTTTTCACCAAACAGGTAACTTTTACTTTCGCGCGCTGAATTGTGTAATAAGCCGAAAAAGTAAGGTTGGAGTTACTTTTCTGGCTGTATTGGCTGAAGTTAGTGTAGAGGACCATTTTAGCTATTTTTACATATAATTTTTTCTTTAATTTATTAATAAAATATATTTTTAAAATATTTTTTTCTTAAATCAGCAGAATCAGCCAAAACAGTCACTCCAGCCAGAATATCATAAATTTCAGCAGAATCAGCCAAAACAGCCGATTTTGGTGCTACCAAACGGGCTCTAAATAATGTTGAGAGAAAGAGGAAGAAGAGCAGCAGCGGCCTGTTGGGAGAAAGAGGAAGAAGAGCCTCGTGATGCTCATCAAGTACGTCGAGTGGGGGAGCCAGAGATTTTTCAAAGCGGGACCTACAGAAGGCCAATATTTATGGTGTATTTTTTCAAAATATAATAAAAACAATAAAAATGTAATACATTAGCACTAATTAGTCATTACATTCTACTTGACTCATATCTATAATCTGGGTAAATCAATCGTACGAGTTTTAATATGTTCAAAATTTTGCATAGAAAACGAACTGATAGGACTGTTGTACACTCATCTACACACTCAAAACTCAAAAGGTTCTCATAGAAATGAGCAATCTTACCCCTTTCTATACTAATCTCATCAAATCTTCTTTAGAATTTTTATACACCATTGCACATCTACATTCTTCCAAGAAGTATCCACAAGCTTCTCTAATCTAATGGAAGGATCTAGAGAACTTCACAATTCTTCAAAATGTTTTAGAGGCTTCCACACTCTTCCGCACGGTTTTAGCGAGTTTCACACTTTTATAGAAAACTTACCATTATTATTCTAAAACATTCAATACTTCTCTATACGCATATACAAAATCCTAGGCATATTTGCAAATTCTAAAATTCTCATGAATTTTTTCATTAAGGAGGGAATCCAACATAGTGTCGAGAATGTTTTGATCATTTTGTTTCAAGAAATGTGACAACATATTCATTAATTCCAATACTCTTTTGCACTATAACCACGAAAAGTCAACTCGTGTGGCATTTAAGGTGTAAAACAATCCACACTTGCATTCAAATGAGTAACGTACGCTGCAGTCAATACGTACTTGTATTCTTAGATACACGTTCGTTTCCTGAAAGATTTTGCCTTTTACTTTAGTACTTAATCTAAAATTGTCTTTAATGAGTATTTATTTTTGAAAAAAGAAAACATTAAATATATTATAAGTGGTAGTACTAATTTTTTTGGCCCAAAGCGGGGGCGCTTGCCCCTGCATGCCCCCGCCCAGCTCCTCCACTGCTCAAGTCCTTCCATTTGCAGATTTTTTAAATTATGTCCTAAATATTGATTGCCCATCAAGTGTTTGAAAAAAAATTCCAAAGTGAATTTTCATTCTTATCTTGATGAATTATTTTATTCTTTGATGCATTTGTGTAAAAACTACTTATTATAAATAAATTTCTTAATATTTTTCATTGCAAAATATACTCATAATTGAGTAAAATAATTTATCATACTAAAGTTATTTGCAAATAATATACTTTTGAATGAGTATTATCTTATACTCAAATGAGTGTATTGTTTACGGGGAATGCGTATTAATGAAATAATGTTTTAAAATGAGTATAGATAGAAGCTATTAAAATGAGTTTTGTGTTATACAACAATGAGTATACCGTTTAAAGTAAATGCGCTTTGATGTAATACTAATGAATATTTGAGCACATTGGAGTTTTGAAATGAGCTTTTGAATTTTTCGATACTCATTTTGTAAATTGTGTATACTCTTTCGGTACTGGTTGTTTGATCATTTTAAAATGTGATATTCATTAAATTAGATTCGCATATTGAAATTCATAAGATTTCATTATAGATATAATTTAATAAGTGTTTTTATAAAGGAAAAATAACTAAAAGAAAGTGAATTATAAGTTATGAAACAGAGATGATGATTGTCAATATTAGACTCCTAATACTCAACAGAATAGGTTTGATGCTCATTAAATGCTCATTAATGCTCATTCACCAGAACTTGTGATTTGCATCTCAATAGCGGATGTATGATGCTTAATTAAAATGTTATGATGTTCAACTAACAAACCTTATGATTTTCATGTCAATGCACGCTTTGTAAGTTATGTATACTCATTTGGTACTGATGTAATGCTCATTTTAAAGTGACATATCAATGCATATTTCAAAAGTATCATATTAAATTAGATTCAAATTTTGAATTTAATAGGAGTGTTTTATAGAGATAATTCAATAAATTTTTATAAAAGAAAAAATAAGAAAATAAAAATGAATTAGAAGATATGAAGCAGAGATCGTGATACTCATTGTTAGCCTTCTAATACTCAATAAAACATGTCAAATGCTCACTAGAAGTACATTATTGCTCATTTAGTGGAAGTAGTGATTTTTCACTTAAATTACAAAAATGTCAGCGAAAAAAATTAGTCTGTACTCCCTCCGTCCCTAAATTTACTTCCGTAGTACAAATGGCACACATATTAAGAAAGTGAGAATTGTGTGGTGGAGAGTTCTGCAAAAGAGAGAGAAATGTATAAGAATTGTTGTGAATCACAAATTCTTTACCAAAAAACGAAAGTGAAGTTCTTTTTTGAACGAATGAAAAGAGAAAGTTAGAAGTATTTTAGAAGTATTTTTTTGGGACGGGAGAGTATTAGCTATTGTCTTCCTTACTTGGGCCAGATGTACATACTCTGGATGTACCATATAGGCACTCTTCTTGTAATGGCACTATTTAGTCTATTTTTACAGTTTTATTTTTTAAATTCTTACACGAGTTGTCAAACTTGTCAAATATTCCGACAATAAAGTTAAAATTGAGAAAATTTTGAAATATTCACTTATGCAGATATGATTGTGGTCTCACTCGACTTCTGTCTAGCCCTCTTGGGGCTGATTATGATCAGTCATCAGTCAAGCAACAGAAATATAAAAAGCAATTATTTTAAACAAAAAAAACAAGTATGATTTGAACCCACCAAAGAAAAATGGTTGATTACCCCACAGCCAGCTAACCACACAAAAACATAACCAAACCACTATGGAGCCCTCCAATGTACAAATCAATAGCAACCCAAACTCCGCCGCCGCCGCTTCTCAGCCCTTCAACCGCCACCAGCACGGCAGCGCACGATCGGCGCCTTTCATAGCCTCCATCTCCGGCCATGCCGCCGCCGCCGCTAATAAAACAACCGGCTCAATCTCATCCTCAAGTATTTCACCTTCAAGCTCTTCCACTAGCGCCTCCACATCTTCCGCCGCCACTCCTGCTACGCCGCTACACCTCGTCGGCGCCTCACTTGCTATTGCAACCGTACCGGAATCCGAGCAGCTCCAAATACAGCCGGCACCTCCAAAGAGATCTACCAAAGACCGGCACACGAAAGTCGACGGCCGTGGGCGGCGTATCCGTATGCCGGCGGCTTGCGCGGCTCGAGTTTTTCAGCTGACCCGAGAATTAGGCCACAAGTCCGACGGCGAAACAATTGAGTGGCTACTTCAACAAGCCGAGCCGGCCATCATAGCCTCCACCGGGACCGGAACCATCCCGGCGAACTTCTCCACCCTGAACATCTCCCTCCGCAGCGGCGGCCCGTCTATGTCGGCGCCGGCCTCTAAGCCGGCTCCACATTCTTTCCACAGCTCGTTAGCACTTTCGGGTCATCATTATGAGGAAGGGTTCTCGCATATGCTTGGTTTTCACCAACCCCCTCACTTTTTAACTCCGAACCAAATCGCCGGAAATCTAGCCGGCGGGACAGGGGACGGAGGAGACGGAGGAGGGAAACGACAAGACACGACCGAGAATTACTTGGGGAAAAGATACAGGGATGACTTGTTTAAGGAAGAAGGATCAAGAAATTCCCAAGCAGAATCCACCGGCCGGCCGGGAAGCTCCGATTCGCCGTCGAATAAGCAAATCAAAGCGAACGAAGGATCCAGTTTACAAGAGAATACAGCCGGAGCTTCGTCTAGTACTTTCCGGCACGGGAATTTGATACCGCCTTCTGCCGCTATGTGGGCGGTGGCGCAGGGTCAGGGCGGCGGACCCTCCGCCGGAAGCTTCTCAATGCTGCCAGTGAGTGGCGGATCGGAACACGGACAGATGTGGGCATTCCAAGCAAATAGCGGGAATACCGGGTCGCTTCAAGCTCCGCTGCATTTCATGTCGAGGTTCAACATTCCGGCCGGCAATCTTGATTTTCCGGGAAGCCGAGCGGGGCATTTGCAGCTGGGGTCCATGATAATGCAGCAGCAGCAACAGCAGGCTTCTGAGCAGTTGGGGTTAGGAATGCGGGAGGGCAATTTGGGAATGTTGGGCTCTTTTAATGTCGCCTATCCCAGAAGCGGTTTGAATATGAATAGCTCTGATCATCATCATCAACAACACCAAACGCCAGATCATAGTGCCGAGGATGAACAGAATGAATCCCCCTAGTTTTTACATGTTTGGTATGTATGCCTGAATTGCTTTCAATTAAACATTAAGAGTTTGTGTTTTAGAGCCCGAGTTTTAAATTGCGGCTGCGGTCATTGCGGTAGCGGCCACATTCGTATTGCGGTCGCTACTCGCTACGATGCGTATTGCGGCCGTTGGCGCATGAATTTTTTTCAATGAAGTTTGAAGGCGATGCGGTGCCGTTCTGGCCTGTTGCGGCCAACAGCAGCATGTAGCGGCCTGATGTATTGCTATAGCGGATTCGTTGGAGTCTCATCGCAGTTACGTAGCGGGTTTTCGTTGTGATTCACATTCACACCGGTATAGCGGCCCTATGCGGTAACGGCGGCGCCCGTGACCGCTATATAGTGGCCGCTATAGCCGTAGCGTTCCCCTATTTGAAACCTTGTTTAGAGCCCATTTAGTAATACCCAGATCGGCTATATTGACTGATTCTGCTGAAAGTTATGAAATTTTGGATGGAGTGGCTGCATTGGTTGATTCTGTTTACTAATGAAAAATTGTATTTAAATTATATTTTATTAATAAAATAAAGAAAATATTGTATGAAAAACAACTAAAATGACCATCTACATTAACTTATTAAGTCAATATATGCAGAAAAATAACTTCAATCTTACTTTTTATTATTACTACACAATTCAGCGCACGAAATTACAAATTACGTGTTTGATGAAAAATTGACTAATAAACTTGATAAGCTGAATAACAGGATCACCAAACGGGCTTTTAATAAATAATAATTTCATACTCAGAACTACATTATGAGTACTATTAAGTAGCAAAATCCAATTTAAAGTATGATAACAAATTACTCCCCACAAATTGAAAAACTCAGAATTAGAAATTTAGAAGTACGGAGTATGTTATTGTGTATGGAGGGTAACCCCAAATAGCTGCATTAGTGTGTTATTTTCTATTCTCTGAAAGTCAATGTATGATGATAGATTTGATGATTGTTTTTATTCACATGTTAAAATGGGATTTGTGTTGTTGAAAATGGTTTTCCAGACCAAATCAACCTAAATGAATCACACCCACGCTACTATGTTGCAATTATGGGCTGTTTGTCGTAGGTTTATTTATTGTTGCTATTTTTTCAATTAATGATAGATGGTTTTATGCATCCCAATTCAAAAGACCTCAAAAGAAACTAAACCAACAGAACAGTATTAATTTCAGAAAAATATGACCAATTTGAACCAAACCAAAAGTATTACCTCTGTTCTGAGTTCATTTTTGGGTCAAAACGAATCCGAACTTAGCCACTGATGATTTGTGGGCAATCACAGTCGTAATAGTGCATTACTGTATTTGTATGCATTTGGACAAACAAATCCATACAAAGCCATGTCTAATCGCATTCGCCCACTCATGTAATTTACACACTAATCTGCACGAGTAATTCAGTTGATTGAATGGTGAGAATGTTGGAGTAATTGACCAATAATTAAAACTCACAATGATCGTGGGTAGGTTAGCAAAAAAGGATGACACTGCATCCCTAGGGGCCAGCACCGGTCGGATAGTTCATTGGGAGGATGTAAGTTGGACTTTAATCACAAGCCGGTGGATAGAGAGTGAGGCTACAGGCCTAGTACTTGCAACGACCCTATGCATTTTTAGCATAGTAACTTCTCATCTCAGTTGACGGGATTTGATCCCGAGACTTATCCCTTGTGACACCCTATCTACCGGTTGAGATATGCCCACCGGCACCGTGTGTAGGTTACCAAATAGACTCTGTAATGCACCAAGCACAGTACTCAGTAATATTTCATATAAAAAAAGGATGACACCTCATCCCTGAGGGGCCCCCAACACCGACCAGACGGCACGATGGGAGGATGTAAATTGGACTATAACCACAATTTGACAGATGGAGAGTGGGGCTCCGTCCGCGGTACTTGCAAAGGCCCTATGCAATTTTAGCATAATAACATCTCATCGCAGTTGCCGGGATTCGAACCCGGGACCTAACCCTTATGGCACTCCCTCGCTACCAGTTGAGCTACGCCCACCGGTCTCGGTAATATTTCATAAGATATGAGGTTACTTTACATATCCAAGCTTGTAGACTTGTTAGTTTACATTACATTATACTACATGTGTTCAATTTTGTAATGATCGTAAAGTTGTACTTATCACAACAAATTTAGCAAGCTCTAGTAATATTTCATGAAAAAACTCTTTTAAAATAGAATTTATATGATCAATACTACGTACTACTCTAGCTAGTTATGAAAGAACACCGGCCAATGACAAAAATGAAAAATTTGAGAATGGTATTTGGTAATTGCAGATTTGATATCTGAAGTGATGATATGAATGAATATGTTGGTTGTGATTACGTGGTGGTTTCCACCGTCCGTACAGATCGAGTGTGTTGAAGAGGTGTCTGTTTTGTACTTTTTGTCTTTCATTTTAACCCGTTTTTGTTTGTATTTTTCTTTTGAGTATTTTTCCTCCTAGACGTGTGTGAAGAGTCTGAAATGTATCTTTGTAGCTAAGTTATTCTATTGATGTAAGAAATATTGATACAAGATGATATTATTATTATTATGTCCCATGCGCTATTTAAAATGTCAGTTTTTTTGGCGTGTTTGGGTTACTCGTATTATGGTAAAATTGTGTGAATAGAAGTATTTTTTTATCATCAAAACATGTCTTTATTCATATCAAAAGATTCAGGATCATTACATCAAGCAAAAGGAAAATAAAATTGACACCAACTGAAACTCCAACAACTACGACTGTAACCTTATGGTGAGACTTTGAGACGGTCACACCTGAAAGAGCAACATGAATCGCTAACCATGTAGTGAGTTTGACACAGCCAAACCTGTTCTCATATATCCAACCATACCCAATGACATAAAGAAAGCAAAAAACTCAAACAAACTGTCAAAACCAAAACAAAAATGGACACAAGAAAACAAATGAAAAACAGATAATAATTACAGAAATTGGCCTAAATAGGAGTAAAAAAGTTTTGAAATTTCAAAAAAGGAGTATCATGTTTTTTATTCCCTAAATAGAAGTAATTTGGCAACTTTGGGAAAAAAATGCCATGTTTAAAGGCTTGTAATATCCAAACTTGGCAGAAATTTACTCCTATTTAGGGAATAAAAAACATGATACTCCTATTTTGGAATTTCAAAAAGTTTTAACTCCTATTTAGGGAATTCTCTCTTAAAAATTACTAGGAATACGTTCACGAACTCAAACACCTCGTACATCCCATGGTGGTGGTTCAGGAGGAGGTCGAAACACCGGTACCATGCTAAATGATCCTCCATGACCTTTGGCTGCCAAAGACCATGCATCAATCCTCCGTCCCTGCAAAACCAAACTCATCCTTGCTCCGTGCGATCAGAGTAACCGGATAGGCGGCGCCGATCTCCTCCAACAACGACAGCAACGCCGCATCCTCGAACCATGGCCGCAGCGCCGATCTCCTTGAGCCATGACAGCAAATCCGCCCTCCTCCACCGATCTCCGCCCTCCGCGCCTGATCTGGACTCCAACCGAGCACCGGCGACACAAGGGAAGCAAAGCCGATCTTCGACAAAGTCGAAATCGGAAAAAAGCTCTAGCGGTCGACAAAGTCGTAGCCCTAGAGAGAAAACCCAACTCCAAGGGAGCTTAGCCAAAAAACGGACCACGGCCAGATGGCCGAACAAAGACTACGGATCTTGGATCAATAGGATTGAAATCGGAAAATTGACATTTTTTGGATACATATATGAGTGAAAGTAACATTGCTTTCAATTCAAAAAATGTCCAATTTAGTCATACTATGTGAATTTTTTCTAATAATCTATTAATATGTCTCATTTAATCAGACTATTCATTTTTTTGAACGGCCACCTTTTGCTTCTATTTTGTAAAATTATTTAATTTTAACTTTAAATGAATAAATAACGTAACCTAATGAGCTTATTACTCTTTTCTTTTTTTTTTTTTTTTTGCAAAAATGAGCTTATTGCATAAGGTATGATATTAATTAAAAAGTGGGACACGTCCAATTAACTAATAACTAAATATATAACTATAATTATATCGGGTATAATTGTAAAAATAATTATAATTATAACCATAATAACAATGTCGTCCTTTGTAGTGTTTAGCATATACTATCGTACGTACTACGTAAGTCTTATTAGACAGTCTTAAATAAGGACAATTAAGCTTAAATTGGACTTAATTTTTAATTGCTGAAGAAGCAGTACTTATTTTAGAAGTCCTTTGGTATCATCGTTTTTGGATTATTAATCTTATTAATTATTTTTCATCAAATGCACAGTTGTTAATATTCAAAACAAATAAGTTTAAAGTTACTTTTCTGTCTTGATTTGTTAGAATTGATACTCCATATTTAATTACATTATCTAATTTTTTTTATATTAATGATAGAATATTTTTCATGGGTTTATTCTCAGCACATTCAATTTATTCAGTGATTGCAATAAAAAATTCACAAATTTCAACCAAATAAGCATATTCATTCTAATATCATGAAATAGACTCTCAATCTTTTGAAAAAAAAACTTCTGTATGTTCACAGTTTAGGCTTTTTTGTGTCATCTAATACATTTTTTAGACTTGGTTTTAATGGCGAATTGAAGGCCACACTATGTATGTGTAAAAACTAGCATTGTAATTAAGTCATCGCCATCAATAAGACAATGTTTAGACCCCTTTAGACTTTATTGAATCATAATAATAAATTGTTTAATTTGTGATCATAAAAAAACTAGAAGTGATTAATCAATGAACGATACATATGACTTTAGGAAACCCTAAAATCCGAGAGCTTCTCTCCCCTAGATTTAGGGGTTGTTTTTCTCCGCTTTCGTTTTCGATGAAGAGCGGTTTTCTTGTGTAGCTTTCGTCCGCTTTTCGTGAAGCTCTCTTTTTCGGCAGACTGCAACGCATATATGGCAGCCAAAAAGCCCAAAAGTTGTGTATCCCTAGCAGCACGCAGGTGGAGAGTTTCGAGGATAGCATTCGTGGTTGAGATCAGAAGGTCAAGGACGAAGCTTGGGGCTAGGGCTATTAACGAATCGAGCTTTTATCGCTTAACGAACTTTCGAACTCGAACCCGAGCTGAGTTTTAAGTTCGAAAAAATAATCGAGCCGAGCTCGAACATACATAGTAGTATTCGGCTCGGTTCGAACTCGAGCCTATCGAACACCCTGAAATTATAAATATAATTTATATGTAATCGAAATTTTAATATAATTAGTATTGTTTTATGAATTTAAATATGTTTATTAACGAACCGAATACTTGTCAAATCATTCAAGCACGAGCCTATTAACGAGCATCACTTAAAATTTTAAATTCGACCATATTTATCGAGCTTATCGAGCGCTCGGTTCGAACATCGAACACCTATCGAGCCGAACACGAGCCTCATTGTAAAGCTCGCCGAGCTTCGAGCTCGAACCCGAACACCATCAATTCC